AGGGGGATCTATGTAGGAGATCCTGGATAGAGTGGGATAACAGTGTGGAACAAAAATCAAAATCATTAAAAAGAAAAAAAAAAAACCCCACTAGGTTTGCTGGCCTGATAGAACCTGTGGAACCACTGAGATTATGGCCCCTAGATGCTCTTCAGGTCTGGAATTTAGCCCAATCCTGTGGGTTCCAGCCAAACAAAAGACAGGCATATGAGCTGAACATTTATACTAAGTAGATACACTCCTTGGAGAGAACAATCATGGGAGAATGGCTGTGTATGCACAGGGACACAACTCAGGGGGCAGGAATGCATGGAAGGAAGGATACAGGGAAGAAATAAATATGGGGAGGAAGTGGGAGGGGAGCTATTGCATTGTGGTAAACTGTATTCAATGTCATGTGACAAAGAGCATGTGAGCTCCTGTACAGAAAGTGAATTTTCTCTATAAACTTTCACCCAAATCACAATTAAAAAATATATATATATATATATATCGAACATGTCAACTAACAATATCAATGAGTTGACATTTCTCAAGTGCTTATTATGGACAAAGCACTATGCCAGCAATTTATATCTATAACCTTATTTATTCCTCACAACAACCCATTGGCAGAAGTACCATTATTATTCTTGTTACAGTTTTTAAAGTTTAATCACAGAGATGTAGGTTAAGGAAAAGAGGTTAAGGTATTTAAGGAATCACAAATACAAAGTAGCAGAGCCAGGATTCAAAGCCAAGCAGTCCAATTCCAGAGCCCAGCTATCTCCATGATCTCCCTTTCCTTTGCCATCACCCTTCTGACATCATCTCTTATTATTCTACCTGTACCCCTTTGTCCCACTAATTTTGGCCTCCTGGACATGCTAGGCGTTCCTCTGCCTCTGGGTCTTTTCTATTCCCATTGGAAAACTGTTCTTTCAGATATTGCTCATTCTCTTACCTCCTTCATGTCACGTAAATATCTTAGTAAAACATTCACTGACATCTTCCCAAGGAATTAGACATTTTGTCAATGTATCAGGTGCAGGGTCAGGAATAGAGCCAGCAGAATGCACTTAGAACATGTATAGAATTGTGTAGTAGTTTCAATTGCTTTCTATGCAGTATATATGTTGAAAACCCTGAGTGCTCAGTGAATTTTCATGAAAATTTTAGTCTGGCCTCCTTAGTGAGGAGAATTAAGTGGATAGGTCTACACTATAACAAGGAATGTAGTGTCTGCTCCCTTGAGACCAGATGTGGCAGTGGGATGACTTCTGGCCCCTCATAATGGTCATGTCCCCAGGGTCACATTCCCAGGAATCACTGCAGTAAACACTGCATACTACAGCATGACCACAAGGGTAACTGACAGAACCTGAATTCACAGTGTACACTGGTAGTTCCTGGTCCCCTCAGGAGGTGAAAAACTAGGACCTGTGGTGAATTTCAGCTTTAAAGCCTGTTGAGTGGCTGTGGGGGTGGTGGGGTCACTGTGCCATTTTGACTAAGGTTTCTCTGACTTCTAAATCTTCCCATGGTTATTTATTGATATTGAGAATTTTCTCTACATATGCACATGAATTCTCACATGGGACTAGTGAGAAAGGCAGTACCATTTGCACATGAGAGAAATGAGGCTCAGATCAAATGACATTTCCATTTCATTACACAGTAAGTGCTACTCAATGCCTGGACTTCTTGCTCCAAGAACACTGTTCCTTCCAATACATGGTGACATTAGTATACATTCCATTACTCATGCATACTCATGATTCTTATCAGACCAAAACCTCAGAATCCTCAAAATGCCATGTTAGATAAGCTTTTACTATTTAGTAGGAACCCTGGTGGAACAGTGGTTAAGTGCTTGGCTGTTAACCAGAAGCTTAGTGGTTCAAATCCACCAGTCACTCAGTGGGAAAAAGATGTGGTGGTCTGCTTCCATAAAGATTTACAGCATTGGAAACCCTAAGGGGCAGTTCTACAGGGCCACTATAAGTAGGAAAAAACTCCATGGCAATGGGTGGGGTTATTATCAGTTGGAGATGCATTTCCAACATACCTATGGGTACATTCCCATGATGATTCTCTACCAGTGCTGCTTCCAGATGTGGTTTGATTTTTTATTCATTTCTAGGGAAATTCTTGGGTAGAAAAAGTAAATGCAGTTAAATACTTAGGTTTTAATTTATTTCATAGCACCTCATTCGTAACATTTTCAAGTACAACATTCTGCTCAACATCATTTATACTTAATAACACACACAACTTGGTAAGGCACCAGGTTACAAGATTCTGGGAGAAGACCTCGCTCTCATTTTGGCTTGTGTTATACATGTGTAGTTTCTCTTAAGTATGTCAAGAACAAAGAACAGTATTATAAAATGTTCATTTATATATACATGGCAAAAAGAGACAGCAAAACTGTTTTAGAGTATATCACATTTTTTAAATTATAACATTGGACTATACTTTGGAATTTAAGCTAAAGTAGCATTCTCTAAAGCACAACGCTTACAAAAATCTCCCCTGCACACCAAGCTGCAAGTGTAATAATTTTGACCACTGAAGTGAATCAATTTGTTGTTTAACTCAAACACATACTTTAAAAACATTTTCCACACCAATATCTATTTTCACAAAGAACTGAAAGTGCAAGAAAACTTTGAATACAACTGCAACTTTACTACTCTATAAAATGCAGCAATGCTTTTAAAACTGTTGTACTTAAATGTCAACCCACTAGATTTTTAGCACTAATAATCCAGATTGTATGATTTCATTTTCTAAATTTTTCAGTACAGCATAAGGCACAACCTGCTAAAAACTAAACCACTTACATCAAGCTTTCATTCCTGGACCACACAAGGCTTTTCTTCAGTAAATGTTTCTCACCAGGCCCTTAAAGTAAAAGAATCCTAAAGGCCTACTCAAGGAATACAAAGTACAGCCCAATACACTATCACATGCATAAAATTTCTTTCAAGTTTTATGTTCTATCCTAAAATGTAATTTGTATTGTATTCCTTGACATTTGTTTTAATATGTAAATATTTAACCGTTAAATAGCTCCCCCCCCAATCTTCCTCTGTCCATCATCTAGGAAGATACACCACCTTTCTTTGTGGCCTCCATCTTTGTACATCAAGGCAGGTAAATCCCATGTGGAATGACTTTTCCACAAATAGGTAAGCTAGACATGGCAAAATTAAAAGGCATTTAATTAAGTTTATTTTAAGCATTTCTACAAATGAAGTAATTTTAATCATTCAGGTTGTAATTGTTCCAGAAAACTATGACAATCAATTTCAATGTATTGGAAAAGAGTAACAGTCTATGCATTTTAGTGATTCAAAGATTAACCTTTGTTAAGCAAAGAAATTCATTAATTTTACTAACAGTTTATTACTTTCATTAAGAGTTCCTAACCTAAAATATAATATGATCTTTACTTTTTCTATAGAAAAACACAATTGGGAATTTTTTTTTTAATAAAAAAGATAACAAAAGAACCCACAACAAGATAAACTCCTCTGTCTACTGGCTTTACAAAGATTTTTTGTAGATTTAGTTATTGCATTGATTTTGATAAATCTGTTTAACCCACTGCAAGCGTGGCATTACAATTCAGTACATGAATATTATCTTTTGGCATGACAGAAACATATCTATCATATGGTAAAAAACTATTCTCCTGACATGGCACTTCTTCACTCCTAAAGATTAAGTGGCTTAAAGGACACAAATGTCAAATACGTATTTTTCTCTGTGTCTCACTGCGAGGAAACCCAAGAGTGGGTGGTCCCAGCATCCACTCTGCTTTTGGTCAGGCAGCAGTGGACACAACCCTTCAGGATCATTCAGAAATACCATTTGGGGATTTAATGGACTGTTTGACCAGGTTTTAATATTATTGTAATTTTGCTTTAAGTTGGTCAAAATGTATAAATCAAGATACACTTTAAGTCCTATGTAAGGTAGAATAAAAAAGGCATCTACTAAAAGAATTTTAACTTCATCTGAAGCCAATCTTTACTAAAATCTGTTTTCTGTGGCCATGCTTTCTTTTTGCATTAACTTTTAAAAGACCGAATCAGCAGCAAATATGGCCATATACACATACGTGTGTGTGAGAATGTGTGGGTGTGGGTGTACACATAGCAGTATATTTTGGTGACAACTATCAAAAGGTACATTTTGTGTCTGTAAACATTTGCTGCAGATCTTTCAAGAATACTCACTTTCCTGCAGATCGGAAAGTTTAAGTACAGAAGTTATAAAAAAAAAAAAAAAAAAAAAACTTAGATAATGCTTCCTATACCTCTAATTACCTACGATTTAGGCAGTCTGGTACCCATGCTACAGTACTAGCAGAGAACACTCCAAACTAAAGAACATGAAAGAGCTACTGCCGAACATCTGCTTTGCTCCACATAGCAGTGTGGCTGGCTGTGTTTATACAGTGGAGCACAACTGGTTCATGAGTAACAAATCCAACATAAGTTTTCCTTTTGGTCTAAACTGTGCCATAGAGTCAGTAGGTTGCTTGTTGGTTGTTTTTAAATCTTTATCAACCAGGTATGACAAAAACTAAATTAGTGTTTTGGATTTTAAGAACACTTAATTTTCTCTCTCAAATTTTTGCTCTTGAAAAAATAAAATAAAGCATGGTTTGCATGGAGTTTCAAAACTAAATTCTTTCCATGGCTGACCTGTGTACATAATGCACTATGCATTAAACCCCCCCCCCAAAAAAAAAAAAAACATTGCAATCATGCCATCAAGTTGATTCTAATATATAGTGATCCTACAAGACAGAGTAGAACTGCCCTATAGACTTTGCAACGCTGTAATATTTACAGGAGCAGACTCCACATCTTTCTCCTGCAGGGTGGCTCCTAGGTTCTAACCACCTACTTTCTGGTTAGCAGCTGAGCACTTAGCCACTGTGCCACTAGGGCTCCTTCACTATGCATTAAGCAGCCTTTAATCAGGGAATGGTTAATCACACATTCCCCTATTTGTTCTGTACATTGTACTATAGCAAAATGTCATTCCTGACATCTAGATCTGAGGTCTTCTTTATGTGAGATGTGCATTAATTCAGAGGTGTAGAACTCTGAATTTCCAGAGTTATGAGAAATTCTTATTTCAAAATATTTTGCATAAGTATCTCACCTCCAGCTCAAACAAACTAGAAAATTAAAGGCAAGAAAGGATACAGAAATTGAGAATGCCTCTTATAATATACACCCATGTTCTCCATACAAGTTCTACACAGTAAAAGGAATCATTTCAGCTAATGTAGCTTCTAATAATGATTTCATCGGAAAATAGCTTTTCTGAGTTTCTTGCCAGCATTATACGAAACAGCAGTATTTCTTCCACCAGGACTTGGAGAGGTTTTTCATTTTGTCTGGAGTCCTGTTCTTGGACTTCTTTGGCTGTTGCTGAGTGTCCGAGTATTGAATGCCAGCAACGATGGCTGTGTCAAAGACTTCTTTGAGGTTTTTCTGAGTCAAAGCCGAACATTCTATGTAAGAGGAGGCTTTGATTTCTTCGGCACACAACTTTGCTGCCTCTTTAGGTACTGGCTTCTCTTTGCATTTGTCCAATTCAATGAGGACTTTGACATCTTCTCTGAGATCTGACTGTGTTCCAACTAGGATGATGGGGGCTTTGGGGCAATGGCACCGGATCTCAGGTACCCACTTCTCACTCACGTTCTGGAAAGATGAAGGGCTCACAACACTGAAGCATAGCAGGAAGATGTCTGTGTTTGTGTAGCAGAGAGGCCTGAGCTTGTCAAACTCATCCTGCAACAAACAGAAGCATCCAGAAGTTATTTTTCTAATCGTTTTCAACACCAAAAAGACTAGTCATAAATTTTTTCTGAAAATTGTTCTAGCAGGTAAAAGAAACCCAACTGATTATAGAAGGAACAGAGTGTTTCAAAGACACAGTCCTGCTGTCTAAGTGGGGTCCATGCTCCCAATGTTGGCATAATAGCCATCTTCTTAAGCGGTCCACTATGACACTCCCACTCCAAAAAACCACTGTCATCAAGGCATTAGAGCTGCCAAGTATGTTTGACATTCAATATACATGATCTATTTATAACTTATAGAAAAGTAATTAAAATATGAATTTTATAAATAAAAAATTAGCCTTTAGCCCCGAGTAATTCAGACTTACTCTCTCAACTCTTGGTACCTAGCTACTTTTGTAAGACTTAGACTTATCTATACTACATCCCAAGACTTCAACCTGATACAAATGAATCACAGTCCATTATCACAGCTCCTTCCTTTAAGACTCCAGCCCCATGTCAGCTGTGAAGTATGAATCATGTAGATATCATCTCATCTGTACTGTGCACACACAGAACAGAGAATAATGCTAACCAGATGAACTGGCCAACCCAGTTGATGACCTTTGTTAGACAAGACTCTTACTAGCAACTTAGAGAACACTGCCTCTCTGTGTCACTTAAGGCACGGCTTAGTACATTCTCCTTCTTGTTTAATACACCTCTTTCTTCTTGCTTCAACTTCTCTTTCCAGTGCATGAGTAATGTTGCTGACAATTGCCCAATGGCAAGAAAAAGTTAACCATTATCCAGCTTTTTTGTTGCATTACTTAAAAACTAGTATTTCTTTATGCATTATTCTCTGCCCACAGCTTTTTCTCTAGGTATAAAGGAAACCTGTATCTGTTTTATTGTAATGTATTTTCATTTATGACTCCCTCTTAAAACTGTAGGGCAACAACCACTAACAAATATTAAAGTCAACCAGCCAAAATGATCAGAAAAGATTATGGTATTTCAGAATACTACTACCATTTGTCAGGCTTCTAGAAGTGAAAGTTAAAAGAAGAACAACTTAAGTTTCTTAGTGCCACTTCTGTGCTGAAAGAATAAATGTAGAAACTCAACCAGGTACACTATAGTTCAGCTTGGAATATGTTTTAATTAAATGCTCTCCCTCTTATCAGTAGATCTTAAAGTAAGAAGGACAGAAAAAAAAAGAGATCTGTGTTAAGTCAATCCTTCAGGTAGCTACACTTCACCACTGGAAGGCCAATCATCCTGAGTATGCCCTGGACTCTGGGATTGCATTGCCGATAAAAAGAAAGGCAATCACAAGAAAGCCTGGGTTTGTGACAAAGGTTTGGAAATCTGACTTCACCAGACCTCTTGAGAGTCTGTCTAAAAGGCTCAGGAAGCAAAACAGAAATTAAATCCTGCTGCTCAATGCCTGACCAGAAACTTTAGATATTTGCTAAAATAAATGCAATACACATAAGCACAAGGAGGCCAGCTGGAATGCACTGCTCAGTAAAATGTGTTCTGGGGCCAAGTGAGTTGCATGTTCTTGCCAGGTCAGCATCAAAGAAATCATACAAGATTAAGTTTGGTGACTGGGTGTGTGTGGGGCAGGGTACTAGAGAGACAGACTGCTAAAAAGTACCTGTCCCTCTGGTCAGGCAGCAACCTGACTTTTTCCCCTTGAGTATAAAAATTTTTCCAAGAATCTCACAGGTCAGAAGGTTGAAGAATTTTCAGCTCCTGTTGGCAGTGTGCAGTGAGCTACTCCCATTTCAACCATACTCCTTTCTCTTATGCCAAAGGCATGCTTCTTAAAGTTCTCGATTTCCGATCTATTTTCACATGGGTACAACTATGACTCCATTGTTAAAAGCTCCTTTTAACATCTTATATACTAACATACTCTTCCCAATGAAAAAACTCAAAGGCATAAGACATAATTTCTAGTTATTGATTCAGGCAGTAGAGTTATCCTCTTCTCTTTCACTTCAACAGCTTCTATATGAAACCTGCATTTTAGCCTGCCTTTATGTACTATCTTTGTGCAAATTCTCCTGGTATTTGAAGAGGTGATAGTTATTATCACTTCATCAACCCCATGAGGTTATTATGAAGATTGTTTATAAGAATTAATGAATTCTATTAGCTGGGTCAACACCAAGAAAATATGGCAGGTGTCAATTCGAGTCTGTTAAAAGATAATTTATCTGGACTAGAGATAGTATAGGAGCTCTGGTAGCATAGTGCCTAAGGCA